GAAATTTGTAAGTATATGAGAAAACAGCAGAGTAATGGATTTGCCAGGAAATTTTTCTGCATTGATTGCAGCAGTATTACTAATCCTGAATCAACCTAAATGTACAGAACTGAGTAAGTGTTAGAGCTGTCCAATAAGATATGACGAATGCACTATTCCATTAATTTTACCTTTTTTGTTGAATAAATTATTTGACAAATAATGGTAAAATTCATCAAATAAATTATCTGATGAATATATTGTTTAAGTAATCGACTAGATCTAATGAATATGCAGGCAATTCCTTAATGAAAAGCATTACTGTTAGCCTGCTTTCATCACTCATGTGTCACTTTTTTGTATTTTGCAACTGCAATCTGTATATTTTATTCATTTACCCATTCATTTATACATGGGAAGTTCAAAACAGTATGGTTAATCAATCACTGCAATTCTTAGAATATTTTTGCTTTACAGTTGATTATTCATTACATTTATTACATACAGAAATACTTAATAAAAAGAATTTGGCTTTTCTGAGGACCCCTCTCCCAAGAACTGTTATTGGCTTGCATGTTCCAAGTCAAGTTTACAAGAATGCTCTGAAAATTTCAACATCCATTTATAAGCCATTTTTTGTAGTTGCAAACACTACAATTACCAATTGTTTCAAGAAACTGGAGCTTGAAGCCAAGCCAGACACCTTCAAGGTCCCTGAAAACACACTTTAGAGGAGTAAAACAAGGAAGAGTGTACAGGAACCACCTCCTCATTGCACAGTGCTAGGATGTTTGGATAAAAGCCACAGAGAGGATTATTTGGATGATGTTCAATTTTGGAAATGTTCCAACCTCAAAGAGCAAGTCTGTATTTTGTTATTACAGAGGTGATCTCAACAAATGATACTGATAGATTTATACTGTTAAACAGCGAATTGCACCTGTTAATGTTACAACATGTCACACTTCTGAGTCCTGGTTCCTCATAGGGGTATGCCAATTTATTGTGGCAGTGACAGTGGATACAATAGTCAAGGCTTCATGACTCTGTCAACACTGCAAAGGTGCAAATCATGTTATTGTGGGTGACTTTGAACTTGTGGCATGAAGCTCAACTGAACAGATTTAATGGGAGAAGGTTGTGTATATTAGAAGGGTTGCCTATAGCTGCACTTGGGAGTAGCAGTGATTCTCTTCCAAAATTCCCTTTTATTGGCTTGTAGATTTTCATAAGTACAGTGTTAATAGTCTTTGCCCAACCCTTCCAAACGATGTCATTTCTGCTGCCAGCTAGACAACTAATATATAGCTGTCCCTCACAATAGGTATAAGTGGAGGGACTTATCCTGCGTCCACAGAGTTTAAAAGACAGATTTTACACAAATGTCTGTGATGTGGAATAAAGCCCTTACAGAGGTCTGCTCCCACTCAACACAGAGTAAGCTGTCTTGCCAGAGGTGAGGAAAACCATGGAAAAGTCCTCTATAATGGGAAGGAGTTTGTTCTTGGCTGACATTATATTCTCATCAAAACTGCGGCCGCATTACCCTGCAGACAAACGGTTATTTCCATTCTACACATTTCCTATTACAGGGAGATTATTATTGTAAGAGTGTATTACAAAAGAAAAAAAATGTTCTAGGGATTTTTTTTTTTTCATTTTCATACCTTTTATCTCTGGAGCTTACATTTGTATTTGCCTCAATCAGGCATGGGTTGTGGTGTGTGTGAATGTTTGTCCCTTAAAGCTTGTGATAAACTCACTTTTCTATTAAAAAGTTTAAATACTTGTTATAAATAATTTCTCCATATTTGTATGCTTTGATCTAATCTACTGCATAGTTTTAACTAAAATGGTTGTGGTTCTAAAGATTACAAGTATTAGGAGGAAGAAATAAGTTGTAGAAATTATCTTCAGCTTGCAGCTTGCTTCACAAAGGTTTAAAATGCCCTTTCTTTCCTAACTTCATCTAAAGAGCTTCTGACCCACTCCTTTTCATGTACAGTCACCAATTTAATAATAATGATAATAATTTTTAGATGGGATCAATAAGGCCATTGCTTTACACTTAAGAATTCTAATAGAACCTTAATATTAATAAGCAAACACCCTTCAGAAGTAGTGTCACTGCTTAGACATTCAGAGAACTTAGTTTGTACTTCTGATAAACACTTGAGCTCCCTATGCTTCACTATTACTGCAGATTTAAAGCCCAAGGATGTGTTTGAAATAATGTGCAGAAAATCCATTGGTACAGAACTGAGTCTGTTCTTCATCATTTACATGCTGTGTCAAAGGCATATTACAATATAATCCAAACCACGAATCTCCTGGACCCCCATTCACAGCAACTGAAAGCACTATTTGGGTACCTAGGCATTTGTGCTAACAATGAGTTTAATGTTTTTGTGCAAGCATCAGATTTGTGGTGAGCAGCTCTCCAGAGATTTGGTGTCCAAACTCTCCAGGCTATCTTGGAAAATCTGCAAACTCAATGCTATTAGTAGATGAAGCTCAGGATTAAAAGTAAACTTGAAGCTGCCAGATTTTGCAGCTTTCTATATGAGGGCTGCGGTGCTCTAGCTGGTTACCCCAGAATAAAAATAACATTTCCTTTTCAGAGTCCTTAATTAGTGATTTTTTTTTTTTTTTAATTAGCCATGGGCAGAATGGGAATCTTGGAAAGAGATCAGTTTCTGTAATTAAAAGGACTTCCTGAGTGCCACTACTTTGGAAAGAGTTTAATCTTTGTTATGGTCGTGCCTATGCAGCGTGCTGAACAGGAAGATTGGATAATGGAAATAGAATTACCGCCACCAACGTGCCTTCCAGAGAGCAGACATCTAACATCAAGTTCATCTTCTAGAGTCAGTACCTATTTTCATAAAGCTTTCCATATTTTCCTTAGACAATAACCTGGATAGGGCATGAGCAAATTAGCTAGCTCACTGCACTCTTTGAAAACATCCCTTTTGCAGTTCAGGCTTCAATTTGCTATCACTCCATTAAAACAAGCTGTCCAAATGCTCAAAAAAAATCACACAGCAGATGAAGCAGCTTGCTGAAAGCGTGTTGCCGTTCCTCCCTGGTCTAGTAGTGCATGATTATGAAGAGACAATAATAAAGGCATGCGAATACAGTGAAAACAAGTTACCACAAAATACTTCCATAACACAAACAAAAACAACAAAACAACCACAGGGCTATTTGCTGTCCAGCTACAGCTCCTTGTGTGGCTTCACTTAGGCAAAGAGTGGAAGGAAAAAAGGAAACTATCTGGCTGTTATCCTCATCCATAGGAGGACTGCATAGGTGCCTAGTGCACATATCAACTTCTACCTCTTCCCCTTTTAATTTGCAGGGATTGCTGGAAGATCTGGAGTGCTCAAAGAAAGGCTATGGGCCTCCGAGCCCAGTTTGCAGGATTTGCCTCTGTGGCCAGCTAGACTGATATCAAAGCCACCGCAGACCTGCTCTGCCTCTGTACTGTGTACCTAAGATCCCACATCAGGCACAGCTCAGCTGGAGCTGAAAGCAAGGTTACAGATGCATAAATTTTGGGAATTTTGTATATTTTGATAATGCAGTTTTCCTGTACTAACAGTGCAGTGATACATCACTGACCATAAATCTTCTCCTGAAGGCAGATGAGGAACAGGAATGAGAGCAACAACAAAAAAATCCCAACCCTGCTGCCTTCATGGAAGAAAGAGATAAGGTCCAAAGAGGAAATAGGAAATTGGCAACTTAAACATAAGAATTGTAAGAATTTCCCAGTAAAGGATGGTCTCTCCCTGTGATTTTGTTTTACCGTAGTAACCTATCAGCCGTCAGGGCCATCTGACCCCAGAAGCACTGAGCCAAGGGTGCTTTGCCTTGCCTCTCTCGAAGTCTTCTGTGCTCACCAGGAAGGTGGGATGAGGAGGCATCACACTGCAGTTGCATCTGGCATGTTGCACCCAGGCTATCCCCAATCTACAGTAGGAATTTGGGGTGCAATTTGACAAGAATTATACCTGATACTTTATTCAGCTTTGAAATGGCAAATGCATTGAAATAAAACTGTTTTACTATCATCTTGTGTGTGTTAGACACTGCCATTTCTTCCTTTTTACAAATCCTCACATTTATCACCAAATAGCTTAAAAAGCAATGAAGGTTTATAACTGACTTGACCATAAATGTCACGAGGCCTCACCATTGTACCTTCTCCTCCTGTTACCTCCAGCTATTGCCAGATCACTGTCAACCCAGTCATACACAATAATGCCCCATTACAGTTTTCCAACTGTAATGGTTTGTTAAACTTTATAGCACTTAGAAATGCTCCCAAGGCACCAAAAATGTCTCGATTCAGAATTGAACATATAATACCTGCCAAATTTGCAGGTTTGAAACCACTTCCAATAAGAATTAAAAAGGCCCTCTTCACAGCTGAAATAGGACTATCAATACTTGACTTGTCTGCCCATGTGAAATAGCGGGTTCTTTTCTCTGACGTCGCAATTTAGTTTAAAATAGCTTTGATGATGACAGGGTACACGCGAGTGATAAAACCATAAAGATGACAGTCTAATCTTACAAAGATGACCGATCACTGATAAGAGATTAAGTCACACAACATTTGAAAAACCAGATTATCTGTCTGCTAGGATAGTGTCTGTGTACACCTCCTGCCGAGCCATGCTGAGATGCCAACGACATACAAAGATGTCACTTCTTAAAAACCAGAAATGCTTCATAGAATTCTCAAACCATTGGGTTAAAAGAAAGAAAGCAAGTAAGAAAAAAGCTCTGATCTTACATTGAGCTTTTTTTGTCAAACATTCATTTTTCAGGCTAGTAAAGTATTTAAATGTACAGCATATAAATAATTTAGAGACACTATAAAAAGGTCTAAATTAGCCAATTCTGTCCTATAATTAGCACTCACAGCTATGCTGGCAATGGGTGGGTGATTATTAAACACCTTTTATTATCGGTTTTATGTACTACAATAAAAAAATGAAAATTATACTTACAAGAATTATTAGACATGCTGGTCCTATAAAACTCCATATAAAGTTATTCTTTGTGCTGAGCCAACATCTGAAAAGTAAAGAGCAGAAAATGCCTTGAAATGTGCTATTGTGACTATTGCATCCTTATGTATGTTGATTTGGACACAGAAACAGTGACTTACACTTCTGTGGTGCCATAGTACTTGTATCCCAGTGCAGCAGAGATTCCAACAACCACGGCTGGACTGACGTAGCCAAAGACATAGAAATTCTTGTGCAAGAAACCCTTGTTGTAGATGACTCCCACAACTATAAGGTAGAGGTGAATACCTTCAATGCACATCCACGCAAAAGCAGCTAGAAGGAAATAATGGAGTAATCCAGCAGTAATTGAACAGAAGAGCTAGAAATTTAATCAGAGAAAGCAAGAGTCATAATTCTATTAATATGTCTCTGTCAATATAACAGCATATGCACAGCAACCTAGTGACTCCAAAGTGGTGGTCCCGCAGCCCAGATGTAATGCTGACTGACAAGAACTTGGCCTACACCCACGAGCACACTTGTTCATTAGTGTTTTCTGTAGCAACTGGTAAAATAGAGACTACATTCAACTTTTAAAATTGGTGCACGTCTTCCCAGAAAAACTGTATAAACAAATTGACAAGGTTGATCCCATAGTTACAGCTGAGTAGTCTATATGCTTTTCTGATCTAGACAAAGTTCATTTTTATGATTTTGATAACACTGTAATTAATCACCGGAAGGAATTATTTCCAAAATAACTTTTGTTAGTACAAAATGTAAAATGATATTTCTCAATCAATCAATACTGGAGTGTTACCTGAGGGACAGCAGCTCATATTTTTTCAAGTAATTTTAAATTCTATTCAGCTACTTAGAGTAGGGGTATTTTGCTAATTTATGCACAATTTAATTTCCTAAAACTAATCTGAGGTGCAAAAATCAACAGCCCAACTTGTATGAAAAGTAACAGGGACAGGTCAAGACCTCATGTGTAGAAGGGAAAGGGGTCCTCCAGCCAACAGTGCAATATCTTAAATGCCAGCTTGGGACTGCAGCTCTGGCCTGGCTTTCAAGGAAAATTGTCACCCAGAGAGCCACCAATATGGCTTTGTACAGCGTCCAAACGGATGTGAAAAGTGAAAATGCTAAACACATTGAGACCACAGTCTTGGGTAAGGTGACAAAGTTTAAATGAAACCCATGGAACAAAGTCAATATACACCAGCTGAGATGAAGGCCCTGCTTCTTTAAATGACCATTTTATATTTCCTGTTACTATACTGGGAAGTCAGTGTCACTAGAATATTCATACTGATACTAGGAAATACTGGAAGTAGATGGAAGATTGTATTTTATACTGTATATTTACTTTACAACACAAAATCAAGATATACAAGTGAAAACTACCCACCTTATTATTGTTCATATTAATTCCAATCAGAAAAATAAGTTCCGCCAGGAAAAGGCTGCAGCAGAGGTTTTTGTGAATTGTTGTTCTAGTGCTTTGAATTTCACTGAAGAACCAGAATGTAAAAATGCACATGGAGAGGCAAATCAATGAAATAATTATTCCTAGCTGAGTGATTCTTGTAAGAATGTTATAATTTGTAACACCCTGGGGGAAAATTATAATATAATATTTAAAAGAATAGCTTTGTACCTTCTCAAGAAAGACCTCATTCTATAGTACAGTTCTTTTCTTCTTTTCTACAAAATATTAATCAAAACTGTTTGTAGAGTTTCACTGCAAATGTACACTTTGGATAATCTAAAAAGTATTGTTTTTTTGTGAGACAGATATAATTCTAGGGGAAATTAGTAATGAACTGTATACATTCCTGCTTTATTAACATCAGTATCTCCTAATATGATTTTAAAAATCAGATCATTTTAGTGAATGACAAATACACTGGCAGTAGGACATATATTAATATGACATGAACATTTTCTAATATAAAGGGACTTATCACAGCAGTGACTTAGATAAGCAAAATTGAATAACCGTCTTACTGAATTTGCAACATGATCAAAACAAGACTCTGAAATAACAATCACTTCAAACAAATACTATTCCAGATACATAACATGAACATTCTCCAAAGAAACATAGGCTATTTTAATATTGGATGCGAATATTTCCTGTATAGGAATACAGTTACATTTGCTGCATGGTATTTGCACAAAGAATCTCTGAAATACACGACTGTGCGTCAGCATAAGGATAGTATTCAGCTGACCATAAAATGTATCTAAGTATTTTTTTTTTCCTGAATAAAGGACCAGAGATTATTCTCCTCCCAGCTTTCCTTTTCAAAATAACTATATAAGTACCTGCAAAGGTTTTAAATTTGAACTGAAGACTTAGGATGTTATTTAGCAACCAGAAAACAGCCTCTATCAGCATGAAATTCACAGTGTGAGAGAACTGTCTCAATACAGTATGTTCATGCTAATATTCTGCTTGCTGTCAGTTCTGATACATTATAAAGCTGCCCCCTGAGGAAGGACCTGAGCTCCTGCAGATCCCCATGTAGACCCTGGAAATCTATGGGACCTCCTAATATCAGAAGGACATAAGTTGAGTGGTCATTCTCACGTTTGTGTGCTGGTCATGAGTGTCCATGTTTAATAGTCATAAACTTCAAATTGATTATGCTGTTGCAACTCTCGGGAGAGAATTTAAAGCAGATTTTTAGATGCCAAGGTTAGACAAATGAGTGGCAAAGTTTTGCGAGAGAGAAATTCAGGGCCATATGGTTACTGACCACTGATGAATGCCAGTTAAATCCCACAGCAGTCTTAAAGTGGGATTTAAAATTAAAAGCAATGCACCAAAAATAAGCACAACAGACTGTGTATTTGGAACAAGATACTTTGCTGCATCACTGCTCTGTAATACTGCAGAAAGGACATAAGGAAATTCAAACACATATGGGAGGAATTTTGTTTGCTCTGTGCACAATAAATTGTGTGTTTGCTGAACAAAAACAAGAGACAACCTAAACGGGGAAAAGTACCTGAGTTGCACTGAAATAAAAACATAAGGAATGAAGACAGGACAAAGTATCAGGTAAAACACTAAATTAAAATAGCACTTACAACAGAGCCACCTGAGGACATCAAAACAGCAAAATGAGTCAGATGATTACATTTGCATGAGATATGAGTGGAGTTGGAATGTGTCAGCTCACAGCCTTCTGTAGCCCAGTTGCCATTCATTGTGTCTGCTGAGTAGTTCCAAAATGCACATTTAATATCTTTATCTGCAGTCTGGAACAGAAACAAGATGTTTTACTGATGGCAAAAGGCAGGAAATTTCCCATCAAGAGACCTTTCTTACGTTAGCCAGAGCAATTCATTAAAAATTGCTTGTTACCATTGGAAGATTGGGAAACAAAAAGCACATTCTGCAAGGCCTATTCCAAGCAATTAAAACATGGCTGGGGATGGAAGCATTTTATCCACACAGCTAACACCCCACCAAACATGTAGGCTAATCAGATTACTGAACCCTTCTGGCACTTGCAAAGGTGTTGGAATTTTTACCTACTGAAAACATTGTTATATATACCTCTGCACCTGCTGAA